TGACAAATAGAGTAGTCACCAATCTGATTACAGTAGATGGCCAATTTAGGCACAATCTCCAATACTGCTAGGAGTCTTAGCAAGGGTCATCCTTGTGGATTCCTGGGAGTTGGCCTAGCACCAGGTTTCTCCCCAACCCTGCAATGGTCCCCCCTGTGGAGATGTTTTTCTCTTTCATTGCTCTCCCTCTCTGTCCTGCCCCCAACTGGCCTGCTCCCTCAAGTTTTCACCCCCCCATCCCCCACCCCACCCCCATGCCCCTCAACCAAAAGAATGGATAAAGAAAATGTGGTACATTTACACAATGGAGTATTGCTGAGCTGTAAAAAAATAATGACCTCATGAAATTTGCAGGCACCCAGTCCCAGAAAGACAAACATGGTATGTACTTACTCATAAGTGGATATTAGGAGTAAAGTATGGGATAACCAATCTCCAATCTCCAATCCACAGCCCCAGAGAGACTAGATAACAAGGGGGGCCCAAAGAGGGATGTAGCACAAATCTCAACAGGTCTTATTAATAAAATCAAACCTTAAGCCAGGTATTGGGGTGAACGCTGGAAGATCAGAGAAGCAGAACAAGCCACAGCTTCCTCACCTCACCAATTCCTCAGCTGATCCTGTTTCCTCAGACTGGAAGCCTCTGTGTCCTCATATCCGAATGGATCTCAGCTAAACTGCTGCTAAAAGCCTAAAAGCTTAACCAGCTCTAGTTCCTGGTCCTCACGCCTTATATACCTTTCTGCTTTCTGCCATCACTTCCTGGGATTAAAGGCGTGAGTCCCCATGCCTGGCTGTTTCCAGTATGGCTTTGAACTCACAGAGATCCTCTGGAAGGCTAGGATTAAAGGTGTGAGTGCCACCATTTTCTGGCCTCTATGTCTGTCTAGTGGCTGTTCTGTTCTCTGACCCCAGATAAATTTATTAGGGTGCACGATATATTGGGGAACACAATATCACCACAGAGGGATGAATGGATTTCCCTGGGAAGGGGAAATAGAAGAGATCTCCTGGGTAAAAGTAGACCTTTTGGGTTGAGATCAGGTGCATCCTGATGCTTTTGTGTGCAAGTGTGGCCCAGCCGAGAAAAGCCCCTTTTATCGTGTTGATAAAAACAAATTAAACACAGATCTGTAATTCTTTAAAAACACTGGAAGCATCCCCCTATGTTTCTAAATCAAGGTCTATGAACCCACAGAGAAAGCAATCCGAAAAGACTCCAGAGGGCTTCAGAGACAGCTCAGTCAGCAAGGCGCTTGCCTTGCAAGCATGAGGACCTGGATTCTAAACCCCCAACACACACATAAAATGCCGGACAGGCCTATAATCCCAGCACTGGGGGCCAGAGACAGGCAGATTCCTGAGGCTCACTGGCCAGCCAGTCTTACCAAACCTGTAAGCTCCAGCTTCAGTGAGAAATTCTGTCTCCAAAAAAGTAGATGGAGAGTGAGAGAGGAAGACATGGATATTGACCTCCACATACATGTGCACTCAGGTGGGTGTGTAAACATGTCCATGCACACATAACACACACACACACACACACACACACACACACACACACACACACACACACGCATAAAAGACAGAAAAAGAGAAATTTGAAAAGTATGTCCTTGCTTCTCTCTTCTCTCTCTCCCTAGATGTTTGTTTTGTTCTGATTTGATGTGAAGATGCCAGTGTGGGGGACAGTCTCTCCATGGAGGGAGGATGAGTAACACTTGCTCAGTTTGTTTACTGCACAAACACGCTCAGACACAGTGGAGGATGCAGCACATGTGAGGGCCTAGGTGTCAAGAACAGGAAGAGAAACAGTGAAAGACCCAGCCACCTTGGTCCCCTGTCCGCAGCTTCACAGTGAAGCTGGAGGAGCATGCAAGTAGACACATCCCTGCCCTTCTGGTGAGTGTCATAAAGGGTGTGAACACACACACACACACACACACACACACACACACACACACACACACCCCACATCTGCCTACGGCCTCTCTTGTTTCCTGGTTGAGTTTACTCCTGGGGCACCCCCACCCCCACCATCCATGCCTTTCATGCTATGCCCTCAGAAGGCATTCATACAAGATGATATCCACCGCTCTATTGCAAGCAACTTGATGACATTTGATCTGTTTACAGCACTGTGCAGACACAGCCACTGTCTAGTCCTGAGACACCTTCACCACCCCAGCAGACCCTACGAAACGCCTAAAGTCACACAGTAAGCAGTTCCTCCTCAGGCTCTGCCCTCTCAGCACCTGTCTGTCCCCCTAGAGCCACCTCTCCTGCATTCACATACGAACGGTCACCCACTGTGTGACCTTTCGTGTCTGGCACCGTGTTCTGGGGTTTCATGGTTGCAAGGAATGTCATGTCTGCCCTTCGCTCCTTACCATGGCTGAATAATATTCCACCACGTGGATCGCTAACACCGTGTCTTCATCGGTCGGGCAGCTGAGTTCTTCCCACCTTCTGACTGTGGCAGCACAGTGCTACAGTGAACACTACACCATTCCTGCCATTCCTGGAGTTTTTCTTTAGCTATCTAGGTTGTTTAGAATGGATATGCTGAGTTCCGTAGTAATTCCATGTTTAACCTTTCTCTTTCTTCACTTCATTAATTTGTTTGTTCGCTTACTTGCTTATTTGGAGGCAGTGTCTTACTATGTCTCTCTGGCTGGCTGGCCTGGAACTCCCTGTATGGAACAGAATGGCCTCAAACAGAGAGACCCCCCCTGCCTCTGCTTCCTGAGTGCTGGGGTTAAAGGGCATTGCACCACCTTTAAGGTTTGAAAGTACAGCCAATCAGGATTCCCCAGCGACATCATCCTTTAATAACGCCACAAAGCCTTGTGGGTAGATGCCTCCTAGTAGATGTGGGTACATGCCTTCCCAAAGGCCTTCCAAGAACTGGACCTAGAGGTTAAACACATCCAGCCTTTCTGAAGGCCTCTGCTGACCTACTTGGTCAAAGCTGAGCTAAGAATACTAAGGTCAGAGACATGAACCCCACACCGAGCAAAGTGAATAGACTGTGCCCTGGACCCTACACTCTGCCACCCAGGAATGTCCTCTCCTCTTGCAAAAGCTTGTCCACGGGGAGAGAGGCAGGACAACTGTATACTTTTATGGGTCTGCATAAAAGAAGCCAATGAGGCTGTAACTCAGTCGGTGGAGTGTGTCTCTAGCATGCCCCACACCCTGAGTCTGATCCCAACACAGAATAAACTAGGTGTGATGTGGCATGCCTGTTAAGCTCAGCACTGGCCTGTAACATCAGCAATCCAGTAAGTAGAGACAGGAGGATCAAAAGTTCAAGGTCATTCTCCACTATATAGTGAGTTGGAGAGACCCTGTCCCCCCCCCCAAAAAAAAGGAGAAAAGAAAAAAGAAAAAAAGTTTACTGAAAGCACGTGGGATTAATTGGCATCAAAGAATTACTTACTCTCAACCTCTCACCATTTAGTTTCTGTGGACTTGATGGGTAATTGCAAACGCTGCCCAGAACCTCAGTTTCCTCCTAAAACAGGGCCAGTACTCTTTACCCTACAGAGTCAATCACACACAAATGCCTCATGCATGCATGTTCTGGTTGGTTCTCGTGGACTTCCAAGAAATGCTCTTGAACCTAGAGGGTGAGTATCTGTCTCATCTAGAGCCCCCCCCCCCCCCCCCCCCCCCCTTGGCTTCTGCAGTTCTCTCTCAGACCCTGTCCCCAGGTTGACTGGGCTGGAATGGTGGCACACTGTTGGCGGGGTTACACTTGGCTCTTTGAAAACCTCCTATTTGCATGGAATGAAGCTTGCTATGGTAACAAGGTCTGGTGGCTGGAATCCAGGGCCCCACTGAAAAATGCAAAGCCTGTGTGTGCTCTGGGAGAGAAAGGAGCCAGGAGGGGCTTATCCAAGCTAAGGTTACCTCGATTCTTCTCAGAAGGAGGAGTAGGTAAACCGAGGCAGCCGGGTTCAACATTCCTACTTAGGAAGGAGGAGAGAGCAAGGAAAGCCCGGCCACACCTCCCAACCCTCCTCTGGTCTCAGCTCCCTACTCCCACTAATGTTCGGGCCAGCCAAGCAGCTTAGGACCAGGTACAAGCTAGTCCTCCATCCAGGGGGTGCACATACTCGCTTTCCGGGCTGCAGGCAGGCCCAGCACCACTGGCCAGGCTGGGGAAGGACAGCGCAGGTCAGGCACTGAGGTGGGGGTGGAAGGTGGCAGACTCACTGTCCACTAGCTCTCCTCCCCGCTGGGCATTTCATCCCTGTAACTGGCAAAGCAAGAACTCCACTCTTGAGCTCACTCCAGCAGCCCCCTCCCTCGGCCCTCCATCCCACGCTCCCCTCCAAGGGGCCCCCTATGCAAGCACCCTTCTCTGCTAAGCATACACCGCCTCCTCCGCGGCGACCCCAGCCCAGAGCGGGGCAGTAGTTGGCCGGGGCGGGGCTGCCCACCGCCGCAGGGAGGGGACAGTGGGACAACCGGGGCCCCGGACGCACCCCTAACCCTTCGCTTGGGGGTGCCACCTCCGACCTCACACGGGTGCCGCCCTCTTCTCCCACTCTCCGGGGATGTGTCCAGGAGATGGGGGGCTCACGAAGCCAAGGAGGTCCCTAAGGTCCCCGGCAGGGCCCCCTCCCGAGCAAGCCGCGAATGGTAGGCTCCACTCAGAGAGCGCCTGGCCCGGGCGGCGCACGGTGTCCTCTGCTCTCAGCTCGCCCGCCCGCCCGCCGGGGTCTCGCCGTTCGCGGCTGCTCCTCCTCCTCCCTTCCTCCTCCTCTTTCTCCTCCTCCTCCCCCCGCCGCCTCGCCACCGCCGCGGCTCGGGCTGGAGGCGCCGCTGTCATTCCTGCGCCGGAGGAGCCGGCGCTTGCCGGTGCCCGGGGGTCGGGGCGCGGGGGAACCCGGGCCGCTAGGGTGACCCAACAGGTAGAGCCCGGGCCACGGCCGGTCACGCGCCCCCCGCGCACATCATGCAGCTCTTTGTCACCTCTCTCGCCCCCAGGCCAAAATCCTGAGCATGATGGAAGACAATAAGCAGCTCGCGCTCCGCATCGATGGGGCGGTCCAGTCGGCCAGCCAGGAGGTGACCAACCTGAGAGCCGAGCTCACGGCCACCAACCGGAGACTGGCGGAATTGAGCGGCGGAGGCGGCGGCCCCGGCTCGGGCCCGGGAGCTGCGACCAGCGCCTCGGCAGCAACGGTGACGGTGGCTGACTCGGCGGTGGCGACCATGGAGAACCATCAGCACAGCGCTCAAGGTAGGAAGCGCCCGGCGCCCGGGGCGGGGACCCAGAGCGCGCTAACCGGTCCCAGTGGTGGCCCGGCCCGCAGTAACCCCCATGCTCGCAGCGAGATAGCTTTGCATTGTGGCTCATAACCCTTTTCGCCTGGCCATGTCTACCCGCTGCTTCCCAGCTTGGGAGTTGCAACGCGGTTGTCATTAACGCCAACCCGGGTGCGGTGTGCACGGGGGTCACACGGTCACACTAGCCCCTGCCGGCTAGAGCTAGGCGCCGCTGGCCGGTCCTTTTCAGGAAGCAGTGGAAAGTGCCCTTTGGAGAGCACACAGACCCCAGCTCCGCCGCAAACTTTTCATGCCCTCGCCCCACAGTCCTCCCACCCCTCCAGTTCCAAAGGCCTCTGAAATGATTCCCCGGGGGAATCTTTGGGCTCTGCTGCCCTGGAGGAGTGGACTTGTATGCACTTTTCTCCACGGACGCCAATCCCCTTGACTAGGTTGCATCTGGAGTTTATTTTCTCCAGGCTTGAGATGGTGCAGGCAGTCCTGTGGATGCTTGAGTCTGCAGGGAGTTTTACATTTCCAGCAACTATACAGGGAAGAGCGCTTCCCAGGGGGAAATCACGGATCTCAAAGGTTGATTGATGGCTGTCTGGAGGAATGAAGGCTTGAATGGTGGGTTACTAGGAGCCCCTGTTTGAAGGACCCTCTGCAGTTTAGAGGAAGGGAGAAGAAAAGACAGCTGGCCAGTGCTGACATTGAGAGATGACACTTCTGAACCCCCAGCAAGGGGTAAAGGTGTGAAATAAGGTGGCCCTGCCATGCGTGCTGTTTTCTGAGAGTTGGAAAGCAGAAGCTGAAACCAGCTTTTCAGGATCTCCCCTCCTGCCCCCCCACCCTCGTCGCCCTTTAAGAAGCAATACCGCTGCTTATTCAAACCATTTGAATTGTAACCTAAATTGCTAAAATCCAAAGGGATGGAGCGAAGAAAAGAAAAAACAAGCAAACAAACAAAACCCTCCAGCCCAAGAGGACCACTGTATAAATATGTCACTTGGAGTGTAAGGTACCAATGCTCAATGGTTCAGAATGGTTTTCTGGTTCGGCTACCTCAACAGCTCCTCCTGAGTGTTGAGAGAGACTGTTTGTATGAGGATGCCTTCACTACTCACTCCATCGGTGTGTTTTGGCCTTACCTTCACAGGAAGGTACGCCTTTGCCCTGTGAGATTCGCAGCTTCAAAATCTGCAGTTTTGTGATTTCTAAGTCAGACCCTAACTTGGTACTTCCGGAGCCTGTTGGGCGTCTTTAGGGATCGTGGATGTAATTTGGCCATGAGGTAATGGTGAGAAGGTGGTGCGGCCCTGGTGTTTGCCACAGGGTTTTCAAGGTTGGCATCTGGCTGTTCTTGTCATCCATCCCTGGTTAGGTCATCGTGTGAGAAAGAACCGTAGGTGAGAGGAAAGCAGAGTGCAGGCTAATGCTTTGGTTTTGCAAGCGGCGACTGTTCTAACATTCCAGAACCAGCTAAGGGCTGGCGTTTGGCTGTGGAGCAAGAGTCCTAAGAAGGGACATGGAATGATACTGGGATAGTCCCACCAGCCACCCGTTCCTGGATGGGGAAAAGTTCAGTGGCTTTTCGTCTGAGTGCTGGTTGCTCTGTGGACTGGGCGTGCTAAGGAATCCAGAGTACCCTGCTGATGCACTTCACTTGCAAATCGAAAGACCTGGGCATCATGATGACTAAATGGTTGTGGAGGCACAGCAGGGGGTGTTTCCTTTTTCTTTTGTGTTTTGTTTTTTTCTGATAAGATGCACAAGGCTGCAGACATGGGAGTGGTTTGGGGATCACTCGGTATCTTTAAAAACACACACCACCAGTAGCTCCCCTGTGCCCATGGGAACCTTCGCACCTGCCTGGTGCCAGTGTCCATGGCAATGGGTAGGTAATAGGCAGGCAGAGGAGGAGGGTCTTGTTGTTTCTGATGGTCTTGTTGCTGATGGTTTTCAGAACCGGTACGATGGGCCCTTGGTGATTGTATAATCAGAAAGTGTGTTAATGATTTTTAACTGAACTCATCTGTGGCTAACATGTCCACTTAAGTTAGGATGACTTTACGTGGGTGAGGTGGGTGGAAGGAAAATGAGACTCCTGTATAAGACACTGGGCATTTACTTATCTACAGTAACAGCACTCAATCCTGGAATGTATGTGTGCACACACACACATATGTGTAATACATACATACATATATATATGTATATGTATATGTATATGTATATGTATATGTATATGTATATGTATATGTATATGTATATGTATATGTATATGTCATTTAGTCCTTGTGAGCTTTTGCACTCATTTGTTTTGTTTTTCTTGGGAACCCTGACACTGTTTTGCTAGAAGCCCTGAGCAGAGCTGGTCTGGTTGCCTCTTTTGCCACAGCTCCTGTTACGTTCCTAAAGGGGAGCCTTGAGTTGTTGCAAGCTAGTTTTCAAGTATGGCGGGTCACCTTCCCCCTGTCCTTCCTGACAAGGCACGAGGGTGGTGCAGGAAGCTGGGGACCCTGAAGGCTTTCTGTTCCTCCAGGTTAGAGTCGCTCACGTGTTTTCTTTTTACCTGCACTGGAGCCGCTCAGTGGGACCAGACCCTAAGGATACCTGATGCTGTTAAGTTGTCATTTCTCAAACTGAGGTTTTGAACGAAATGAGTATCTTTCAAAATGCAACTGTGTAAGTCACTTTTAGCTAAAGTGCATTATGTACACATTAAGAGCACGCTAATATGCCTTTGACAATATTGGCACAGATAATTACAGGAAAATGCCACCTTTTCCATCCTTACCCCCCTCCAAGAGACGGTCAGAACCGTTTTCAGTTTATAAAAAATTCTTTTTGGAAATGAATAGAGGAAGTGCATCACTCCGCTGTGGGTACTTTTGTTGCAGGCGAGACCACTGGGTTGATGCCTTGTGATAAAGCAAACCTGGGTTTTCCTAGAGGGTTAAGGCAGCGTGTCGTTTAAACAAAATATTAACTCACTTGGGTACCCTGTGTGAGCGGGCACGGTTGCTATGTAACAGGATCTAGAAAGTGAACTGCTGGAAATCTGGGCTCTCGGCACTTCGCAGGATCTGCTTTCGGAATTTCTGTTGAAAGAGCTCTTGGCAGAGGGCCCATCGCCTCTCTCCTGTTGCAAGTGAGTTGGATAATCCTAAGGAGGACTGTAGGCCAGCCTCACCAAGGGCATCCGTGCCGGGTGGCACATTTCACAGCCCCAGAGGCCACCTCTTAGGCTGATGGGGTCACAACTGCTTTTGACAGGTGGACAGAAAGAGGGCTTGGTTAAAAAAAAAAAAAGAAAGAAAAGAAAATACAGAGCTAAGCATTTGTTTCAATTCGTCTTGTTGTGGGAAGGGGGTTGTTTGAAGTACATTTCTAAACTGTTCTCCTAGCGGTACTAGCTCTGGGAAAGTGTATTTAAAATGCTTGCTGTTCTTTGAAGGCAAAATATAGCAGTTTGCTTCTCTGAGAATGTTTTATCTGATGAATGACTAATATTAGATTCAATTGGCTGCTTTGCTGTGCATAGAATAAAACAATTAAGAGCCATTACACCCAATTTAAATAGGTGTTAACTGTATAGAACATAAAATGCTTACACCCAGTAGGATGGATGCTCACGGTCTTGAGTTCATTGTTTATTTGCGGTGTGTGCACATGGGTGCCCGTGGATGCCAGGAGTCAGCACTGGATGTCTTCCCCAGTCCTTCTCCACTTATCTCTTGAGACAGGGTGGCTAACTGAACCTGGTGCTCACTGATTGGCTACACTGGCTTGGCCCATGAGCTCCAGGGACCCTCCTCTCTCTGCCTCCCCAGTGCTGGGATTACAGGCTCCTGCTGCTGAGCCTAGCTTTTGTCCATGGATGGTGAGGATCTGAACTCCAATGCTCATGCTTGTACAGGGAGAGCATTTCAGTGACTGAGCCCTGTCCTCAGCCCCCACTGGCAACTAGAGGTACAGAAAGTACCTTTCTTTGGTATTGGGGAGAAGGGGCAGTCCCTGTCTGCTGCAGTTGTTAAAATGGGAAGATGGGAAGGATCAGTCTCCATCTCTGTAAATGTTCATAACTACACACAGGTTGTATTTCCTTCTCCAGGCACTCCAACAGGCAGTTGCCTGGATCTCGGCATCTCCTCACTACAAAACACTGCAAATTCTTTGGCGAAGTTTGCATTACCTTAGGAGTGGTGTGTGTGAGGAATCCACAGAGACACTAGACATTGTTGTTCTGCAGAGTGACTTCTGTGCACTGGCATCCACTCCTCCGTTCATTCAGCTCTTGCTCTCTTTTTTCCAGGGGTTCTATCTGCTTCAAAAGAGGGGATTTCCTAATGGCAGACAGGGTGGAACCCAGGCATGTGGCAACATCTCTGAGGCCCCGCACGTTTTTTGTCTCTGCAGTGGGCTGAAGGGCTGTGTCTTTGCCTAACGTGGAAGGTGGGGCTTTACAGTTCCTCCTAAAAGTTGCTGCCTGGAGTCACCAAGAGATCGCTTACACAGGAGGCCAGCATGGTTGAAATTAGTTATTGATTGCCTATCATTTACTATCTTTCCTTTGTCTTTAAAGATGCCTTGGGAGGTTCCCTGGAGCCAAATTTCTGGTTCTGGTTCATTTCATATTGTGGTGTTTGTTTCCTGATTTTTTTTGTGACTTTCCAAAACTTCTTTGATGTCAAGCGGAAGTCTTAGCGGGTCTGGTTTTCACACGAGGCCTATCCGCATACATATCATCTCAGTGTGAGGTGACCAGTGTCTCCGCACCCTCTCCCTCACTCCTCAACCCCAATGGCACCTTTTAGGGATCCCATAGGGTTCTAATTTGTGACTTCCTGGCTGCCAGGGAGTGGGTGGCAGATGGACTTGGCAGGTGAGAATTGCTCACTGGAAGTCTGCCTGCCCATCCTGTAAGCCATGTGGAGGGAGCACATAAGGTCAAACTCAGGGTCTTGGACC